AATTTAGTTTAATTTCCAAAAACAGATTTACCACATATATGAATTAAGAATTTTAAATTAAGGCAAAACAAAACCATCCTCAATTTCTTTCTCTTTTTCCTATAATCTAGGCACTCAAAGGAGAGAAAGGAAGGGAAGGAAAAGGTAGGGAAGAACAGACAGGGACATACACAGACAGCCCTGGGTTCAGAGGTAAAGAGAGACACCACTAGCAAAGGCTAAAGTTAGAAAGGAAAAACAGGGAGACATCAAAGTCAGAGAGGCAGACAAACTGACAAACGTGTGCTGAAAGGTGAGGGGTTGAATAGAACATACCCTGAAGAAAAAGACAAAGATCTGGTATAGAGTGACAGAGGATGACATAAGCATAAATGTCTTTCATAGAATTTAAGTAGCCTTTTATGATTTTACTGTTAATTATTACCTTTTTATAGGTACAAGTGGGGAAATCACTATTTAGTGCTATCAGCTAATTTTGCTGTAAATCTAAAACTACTCTAAAAATTAAAGTCTAATTTTAAAAAAGCAATGACCTCCCTGAAGAAATAATTGATCTAAGCAAGATCCTCAATGAATGTTAATATCACAAAAAAAAGATAGAGATTATATTCCTCCTGATGGAAGTACACTATACCACCCAAGAAGTCTTGAAAAAAACAAGAAAGAGAAAGGAATAAAAATAAGAGAAAAGGAAAAAATATCAAGTTTTTAGATCTAACTGTATTTTACAAGAAATACAGAGGTAAAAGAATGTGTTAAATAACACTATGGGTATGCAGTAAGCAAATCCAGAATGTGGAAAGCTTTAGAAGACATATAAACCCAATTTTTTCAACAAATAAATCGAAAGAAAAAAACAAAAAAAAGAAAGGGCCCCTATGGATTAAAAGAGTTTAAGAATCAAACGAAATGTGTCAATCTAGTTTAGATCCTGACTTGAACAAATCAACTATTAAAAACAACAAAAAATGGTATATAAATAAAAGAATTAAAAAACAAGTACTCAAACAAATACATGTGCATGTATGTTCATATCAGCACTAGTCACAATGTCAAAAGGTGGAAACAACCCAAATGTCCATTAATAGATGAATGAATAAACAAATTGTGGTACATACAAGGGCTGTCCGGAAAGTATCCAGCCATTGTAAATATAACGAGAATGGTTACATGGCTGGATACTTTCCAGACAGCCCTCATATACGTGTATGTGTACACATGCACACACAATGGAACATTATTCAGCCACAGTAAGAAATAAAATATGATACATGCCACAATATTGGGTGAACATTGAAAACATTCTGCTAAATGAAAGAAGCCAGATACAACAGATCATATATTGTATGAATCCATTTATATGAAATATCCAGAATAGGTAAATCCATTGTTGGACAAAAAGCAGATTGGTGATTGCTGAAGGTTAGAGGGGCAGGGAAATGGAACTAAATGCTTAATGAGTAAAAGGTTTCCTTTTGAGGTGACAGATTTAGGAACTAGATAGAGGTGGTGATTGCACAACACTGAATTGTTCACTTTGAAATGGTTAATACTATTATGTAAATCTCACTTCAATTAAAAAACAAAACACTGAAGCAATTATGAAATATTTAGGAAAATCTGAGTACTGACTAGATCTTTGATGTATTGAAGAATTATTGGTAATTTTTTGGTGTGATGATGGTACTGTGGTTATGATTTTAAGAGTCTCTACTTTTAGATTAGTTGCTGAAATACTCATGGGTGAAATTATACAGTGTCTGATATTTGCTTCAAAATAATCCAGTGCAGAGGTGGATGAAGGGAAAAAGTGAGTGGAGGTATAGACAAGCCATGAGTTGACTAATTGTTGAAGCTGGTGATGGGGTTCATAATACTGTTTTTCTCTACTCTTGTATGTGAAGTTTTGTCTAATAAAGTTTTAAGATTTTCTTTTCAAGTATAATTAAGAAAATCAAGGAGGCAGGGTGCAGTGGCTCCAGCCTGTAACTCTGGGAGGCCGATGCAGAGGATCATTTGAGCTCAGGAGTTGGAGACCAGCCTGAGCAAGAGCGACAGACCCTGTCTCTACCAAAAACAGAAAAATTAGCTGGGCTTGGTGGCGCACGCCTATAGTTCCAGCTACTTCGGAGGCTGAGGCAAGAGGATTGCTTGAGCCCAGGAGTTTGAGGGCTGCAGTGAGCTATGATAACACCATTGCACTCTACCCAGGGTAACAGAGCGAGACTCTGTCTCAAGGAAAAAAAAAAGAAAGAAAGAAAATCAAGGATTAGGCTAGATTTGGCTTGTTTAGAAATTTGTTAGGCCACTCAAACAGTTTACTGTGTAAAAGTCAGTCTTTCAGGTGAAAACAAGATTTGGTAGTACTAAATTAAGGAAGGAAACATGACAAATCTAGAGGAAGCATAAGAAATTTTATATATACTTCTTAGAAGAAATAATTTTGTATTTAAGCCTTCTGAAGTTCTTTTTTTATATGTTTCCCTTTATTTTTTGCTTTCCTCTCTTCTAGATTTTTGAAAATATACAATAAAAGACATTTAACTATATTTACCCTATGGTGCTGCAGAACACTAGAATTCTGATTCAACTGAATATGATAGAGGTCTTTTCATAAAATGAGTAGCTATGGATTTAGGATCATTAGAATTTATTTTACTGCCGGGAGAGTCCAGAAAAGGTTAAGTGACTTAACAAAACTTCATTAAAAAAAAATAAAAGTAGTATTAAAAAATTGTAAAGTATGAAAACATAGGGGAAAAAAATCATTCCACAATTCAAACCACTGAATTACCACAATTCGAACCACTTTAAATTTCTGTTAAAATTTTGAGGTGTTTCCTCTCAGTCTTTTTTTAAGTCTTAGGTTTGAGTTTTCCTAATATGATTCTAAGCATTTTTACATATTAATACATATCCTTGGTAACAATTATCTTAATGGTTGTTTAATATTTCATGGAGTTGATATAGCTCACTTATTCATTCCTCTATAATATACCATTGATATTTCCAACTTTTTATTACTATAAATAAAGCTGCTATGAACATATTTATATATAAAATTTAATTATATTAGGATTATCATAAAAGTCATATTTGATTTTCTCAGGAGTAAGATAAAACTTCCTAATGGAAGCCATTTTTTTTTCTCTTTTGAAAATTTGTTAATGGGCAAAATAGAGTTAGATTTTCCATTTCCTCTATGGATCAAGCTCATGAACAGTCAAAATGATAGGATATAGAGGAGGACTGACAATTATCCTCCTATTATGGGCAAAACAATCTTTATATGTGTAGAAGCAGAAAAATTTTAAACTAAAATTATACTCTACCTGTTGAAAAGCTTTTTCTGCTTGACGTTCAGCATCAATAACTTGTCTCTCAAGCTGTTGCATCTGTCAGGTGAGGAAAAATATAAATAATATAAAATTTCATATTTCCCTTTTTGAAAAAAGCTTAAAAATCTCATAATGTCATCAATTCAAGAATATTTAAAGTAGTTCACCATATATGACTTACACACAGTACATTAAAGGATCTTTGCAAAGTTAAAAGTTGACCAAACGAAATGCCAAAGTTTTGATACTTTTAGTATAATGTAATATATACCACAGGAGTATTCATCAACAGAATTTTCTTCATTGGGAAAAGACTAGTGAACACATATTAAGATTAGTAAAATTAAGAGAAAACTAAGAGCTCAAATGTCATATTTGATGTGTTGATCAAAAAGTCATAATGGGCCGGGCGCGGTGGCTCACGCCTGTAATCCTAGCTCTCTGGGAGGCCGAGGTGGGCAGATTGTTTGAGCTCAGGAGTTCGAAACCAGCCTGAGCAAGAGCGAGACCCCGCCTCTACCAAAAATAGAAAGAAATTAATTGGACAGCTAAAAATATATAGAAAAAAAAAAATTAGCCGGGCATGATGGCGCATGCCTGTAGTCCCAGCTACTCGCGAGGCTGAGGCAGAAGGATTGCTTGAGCCCAGGAGTTTGAGGTTGCTGTGAGCTAGGCTGACACCACGGCACTCTAGCCGGCGCAACACAGTGAGACTCTGTCTAAAAAAAAAAAAAAAAAAAAAGTCATAATGAGGCTGGGCACAGTTGCTCAGGCCTGTAATCTCAGCACTTTGGGAGTTCAAGGTGGGAGGATCACTTGAGCCCAGGAATTTGAGACCAGAGCCCAGGAGTTTGAGACCAGCCTGGGCAACACGGTGAGACCCCATCTCAATAAAAAATTTTAAAAATAAATTTTAAAAAAATTAGCCAGGCATGGCAGTGTGTGCCTGTAGTCCCAGCTACTCAGGAGGCTGAGGTGGAAGGATTGCTTGAGGCAGGTGTTGGAGGTTACAGTGAGCTATAATCACACCACTGCACTCCAGCCTGGGCAACAGAATGAGACCCTGTTTCTTAAAAAAAAAAAAGTCGCAATGATATCAAGGAAGTGGTGGACTCTCATAAATTCCATAGGTTGTATGTTTAAATCCAGATTCTGCGTAGTTTTATATTCTTAGAGATTTATGAAAAGAGTATAGAAGAGATTATTTGATTAAACACACACCCACACACAAATACTAAAATGAATAGTATTAAAAATTTAAAAGCCTTAAGAAGAACCCAGGATGTGTACCAGGTGTTGAATACACAAACCATGAGGTAAAACTATTTCAAATTCTCAGTTTTTCTCAGTGTTGAAGTCTGGCCAACTTTTGAGCCGTCTGTAAATCGATCCATGATCATTTTTCAATGGTATTGTTGGTTGGTAGTTCAGACGCCCACAACTCCTGGCGCACCTCAAATTCGCACCAGTCGGGCTCTCACACACAGTAGCCGACACATCCGGCCCCTGCCCCGCCCACTTCTCGACACCAGCGAGAAGCGGCCTCCCGCAGCTAGAGCGGCCCAACCCGGGAGCGCAGCTGCCAGCTCCGGACAGCCTGGGCCACCCGACCCGATCCTGGGCTGCGTTTGACCCGCGCGCACTGTCCTCAACGCCTGGAAAATGGTTTCTGCTAGTGGAGCCTCATTTTTAAAGGGTATGTTGCTTGGGAGCATTTCCTGGGTTTTGATAACTATGTTTGGCCAAGTTCACATTCGACACGGAGCTCAAACTGGAGACCACGAGCACCATCACCTTCGCCCACCTAACAGAAAAGATTTCTTGAACATTTCAGAAGTGACATTCATAGAGCTCAGTAAAAGTATCCGTGTTTTCTGTATCATCTTTGGAGAAACCGAAGATGAGAGTTACTGGGATGTACTGAAAGAGACTTGGACCAAACACTGTGACAAAGCAGAGCTCTATGTTTATGGTACTAAAAATGATAATTTGTTTAATATAGAAAGAAATGACAAGTGGCTACAGATGAGAAGAACTTACAAATATGTCTTTGAAAAGTATGGCAACAGCTACAATTGGTTCTTTCTTGCACTTCCCACTACATTTGCTGTCATTGAAAATTTAAAGTACCTTTTGTTTACAAGGGACGCATCACAACCCTTTTATCTGGGCCACACTGTTATATCTGGAGACCTCGAATTTGTGACTATGGAAGGAGGAATTGTCTTAAGTATAGAGTCAATGAAAAGGCTGAACAGACTTCTCAATAACTCTGAAAACTGTGCAGATCAAAGTGTGATTTGGAAGTTATCTGAAGATAAGCAGCTGGCAATCTGCCTGAAATATGCGGGAGTTCTTGCAGAAAATGCAGAGGATAATGAAGGAAGAGATGTGTTTAATACAAAATCAATTGTACATCTTATTCAGGAACATATGTCTAATAACCCTGGGCAAGTAGTAGAAGGCTGCTGTTCAGATATGGCTATTACTTTTAATGGACTGACTCCCCAAAAGATGGAAGTAATGATGTATGGTGTGTACCGGCTGAGGGCATTTGGACATCATTACAATGACACACTGGTTTTCTTGCCTCCAAATGGTTCAAAAAATGACTGAGAGCTGGGGAATAGTAGAACTGTCCTGTCCAGGAGCACTTGAAATATGGGTAGTCCAAATTAAGATGTGGTGTAAGTGTAAAATACATACTTTATTCAATAATACACATATTATTAGAAAACAGTGCAAAAATGTAAAATATCTCATCTGTAATTTTTTATATTGACTCCACATTGAATTGATAATATTTTGGATATTTTGCATTAAATAAAATATTCTATTAAAATTAATTTCACCTGTTTCTTTTCCATTTTATTAATGTGTCTATTACAAAATTTTTAATTACCAATGTGGATCACATATTTCTACTGGATAAAAAAGGTGTAGAACATTCATTGTCACCATGTATGACAATTTAACTGCCTGTCCACATGGCAGCACTTTTTAAAGGCAGTTTATTGCAGGCATCTGGATTCTGGAAGAGGTTTCAAATATTTGAATATGTAAATAGATATTCCCCAAGTGCATTCTCTGGACCTCATATCATTTTTAACTTTTGTGAAAATATTTCAAATGCTTAATGAGTAAGTATTGTGGTTTAAAAGCATTTTGTTGAGTTATTTACTACATAAAAGCAACTGGACAAGCATTATGTCTTTTGGAATGTCTTTAGAATGTTCCTTAAACCAAAGAGCCAACTAGCAGACACATGCCAATACCACATTTTTCCACTATTGGCAATATGCTAACAAATTGTCACTTCTACATTGTATTATAACTACATTCTATTATCAAGGAAATTTTTGCTTTTCTAGAGCCTTAGCCTGAATTCAACAAAATTCAACATCCATTCATGACAAAATCTCATAGCAAATTAAAAATATAAGGAACTTCTGAAACCTAATAATAGGAATCTGCAAAAAAACCTATAACTAACATCATACTTAATGGCAAAAACTGAATTCTTTCCCCCACAAGATTGTCCTCTCACCACTTATATTCAACATTTTACTGGAGGTCCTAGGCAATGTAATAGCCATGAAAGAAAAATAAAAGTATGTAGACTGGAAAGGAAGAAATAAAGCAACGTTTATTGACAGATGATATGATTGTCTACACAGAAAATACCAAATAATTTACAAAAAAGCTAGTAGAACTAATAAGTGAGTTTATTAAGGTCACAGGACATAAGGTCAATATACAAGAATCTGTTATATTTCTATTTAACAGCAATAAACAATTGAAATTGGAATTTTAAAAAACCGTACCATTTACAATAGCATCAAAATCACAAAATACTTACGGATGAATCTAACAAAATAGGTGCAATATTTGTATGCTGAAACCATAATACATTAATAAGGAAAGTTAAAGAAGAACTAAATAAATGGAGAGTTAAACTATGAGTCAGAAGACTCAATATTATTAAGATGTCGATCCTCCCCCAATTGACCTCTAGATTCCACCCAGTCCCAAAATCCTAGCAGGCTTTTTTTGCACAAATTAACAAGCAGATTCTAAAATTTATATAGAAATGCTAAGGATCTAGAGTAGCCAAAAAAACTCAGATAGAAAACAAAATCAGAATATTTGTAATACCTGACATCAAGACTTATATAGCAATAGTATTCAAGACAATATGATATTTGTGTAAAAACAGCCATAATAGATTTAATGGAACAAAACAGTTCAGAAAGATACTTGATATATACAATTTAAATTTTTTTATATTTTTATTGGTTTAATCTATCTTCATCATCAGATCATATAGCCATCACATACTATAATCTCTAGTTATTCTGGTTGTCTGAACCTCATTCTCTAAATTTCTTACAGACATCTCCTGGGAACAACATTCTCTGAGTTCTTTCATGTTAATAGCTGCTTGCCATGCCCTTTATACTTGAAAGTCAATTCTACTGAATACGAAATCCTTAGATCACATGTTCTTTCCTTGATATCTTAAACATGTTATGCTATTTTCTCCTGGAATAAAGCATTGCTATCAGTGTAGCAACATATTATTTTCCTTATAAAGGTTCTGTTTTAGTTTCTGCCTAGATACCCAAGGAATGTTTTCTTTTTTCTTTAATATCCAATATTTTTACTAAAATAAGCCTTGAAGTAGGTCATCCTAGGTTAATGGTCTCAGGCACATGATGCACTATTTCAATATGTAGCCGTGTGCTTTTCTAAATTTCTGTAGTTTTCTTGAATTACAGTGTTTGCATTTGTTTCATTCCTTTGTTTTGGCTTTCTTCTTCAGGAACTTCTTTTATCTATATGTGTATCATCTTTGTTTATCTTCAATACTAGTCAGCTTCTCAAATCCTTTTCATTTCTTTTTTTATTTTGATTTTTAAAAGTTTCTTCCTTTTTACCTTCAATTTTTATTAAAGCATGATGTGTCGAATTTATTAGTTCTTGTGTTCCTTCTACTTTAGTCTTAGTTTGTAAAATGTATTCTTCTAATTCTTTGTTGGGTTCTGTCACTGCATTTCTGATTTTTCTAATTATGATTCATGCTATTCCTTTAAGTCCTGTATCATTTTGTTAATGTTGTTTGGTCAATTTATTTTTTACCACTATTTAAATGTGAGATATAATTCATATGCCATAAAATTCACCTTTTTAAATTGTACAATTCTGTGGTCTTTAGTATTTTAACAGAGTTGTACAAACATCACCACTATCTAATGCCAGAATATTTCCATCACCCCAAAAAAGAAACTCTGTACCCATTAGCAGTCACTCCCCATTATTTTGCTGTGCATTTCTTTAAGTATAATACCTTTTTACATGTTTATTGGCTATCAGTATTTTTTGTAAACTGTTCATATCACCTACCTGTAAGGTGATTACTTTGAGTCTGGGTATTTGAACCATTGTCTAGTATCCTAGGGAAGTGAACAGATTGCTGGAATTCCATGAATTTCAACTTTGCCCAAGTCGGGGCCTCAGTCAGCAAAGGAGGATTGAGCAGCCCTTGAAAGTTCAAGAAAGGGACTTCCTGGCATGCTCTGTTCACTGGTGCTTGGCCCAACCAACTGACTATTCACTACTCCTTTATAATCCAGTTCTCAAGTTGGAGCAGTCACCACCTTCTCCCATCCCCCACTGTATGAAAAACATCTGGGATGGGTATCAGGGAATTGGCCAGACCCAAAGCTACTTGATTCTTTGGTTAACAATTGTAACAACACAAATCAAGAAGTTTTGATCATATAATTTTACTTTGATCCATTCATTGTACTTTGAGGAATCTTTCCCGAAGAATTCCAATTATAAACAAATGCTATACATGCAAGAAGTTCATCTGTAGTATTATTTAAAATAATGGAGGCCGGGCGCGGTGGCTCACGCCTGTAATCCTAGCTCTCTGGGAGGCCGAGGCGGGCGGATTGTTTGAGCTCAGGAGTTCGAGACCAGCCTGAGTAAGAGTGAGACCTCGTCTCTACTAAAAAATTAGAAAGAAATTAGACGGACAACTAAAAATATATAGAAAAAACTAGCCGGGCATGGTGGCGCATGCCTATAGTCCCAGCTACTGGGGAGGCTGAGGCAGAAGGATCGCTTGAGCCCAGGAGTTTGAGGTTGCTGTGAGCTAGGCTGATGCCACGGCACTCACTCCAGCCCGGGCAAAAGAGTGAGACTCTGTCTCAAAAAAAAAAAAAAATAAACAAAAATAAAATAATGGAAAACTACAAACAGCCTCTATATCTAATAATAAGGGAACTGATCAGCAAATTACCAGTATTTATTTATTGAGCCCCTTATGATTATAAATAGAGACTAGGTACTGACATGGAAAATGCTAATGATAAATGATATAACCTTTAATGAAACCAGTATATTTATACTACATATTTATATCTATGTATATATTTTTTAATTGTACATCAACAAAACCACAAAAGTATTAACAGTATTAATAGTTTTGTTAAACAGCAGGCAGTATTGGTGATTCTTCTTTCCCATTTTTCCAAACTTTTAAAAAAATTGAAATATAATTCACATGCCAGAAAATTCACCATTTTAAAGTGTACAACTTCAATGTCTTTTTTACTATATTCACGGAGTTGTGGAACCATTAGCACTATCTAATTCCAGAACATTTCCATCACCTCAAAAAGAAACTCCATACCCATTAGCAATCGTTCCCCATTGCCCTCTCCCCATAACCCTTTTACGACCACTAATTTACCTTCTGTTCCTGTGGATTTGCCTATTCTGAATATTTCATATGAATGGAATCATATAATATGTGACCTTCTGTGCCTGGCTTCTTTTATTTAGCATAATGTTTTCAAGGTTCATCCATGTTGCAACATGTGTCAGTATTTCATTTCTTTTTTTATGCCTGAATAATATTTCACTATATGAATATACCAAATTTTATCAATTCATCAGGTGATGAGCTTTTGGGCTGTTTCCAATTTTTTACAATTATAAACATTGGTGCTACAAACATTTGTGTATAAGTTTTTGTGGGGACTTATATATTCAATTCTCTCAGGGATATAGGTAAGCGTAGAATTGTTGGGTCATATGCCAACTCTATATTTAACTTTCTTCCTTTCTTTCTTTCTTTTTTCTGATCTCTATCTTACATGTTAGATGCTTTCTTCAGATGTCTGGTCATCCATGAGACACTACTTAAGTTTAAGAATGAGGGACTAAAAAGCTGACTAAAAACCTTAGCACACATACGGGGTTTGTTGATCGTGAACTTTAACCTTGGATGATCTGGCTGGGCTCTCTGTTGGGGAACCACTGATGTCAGCATCACTATCTCTCCCCTCCTGGACTCACGAGAGTCCCTAAAGACTTCCAATTTCCTCCTATAGGATAAAGGCTGGCTGCCATCATTTTAGGAGCCAACTAGGAGAAGGGGGTTGGGAGTGAGGGACAAGATCACCAATAAATATGCACACAGTCACTTAATCCCCATTTCTGCTGTAGCAGAATGACAGAGAGCATGGCCTAGAATAAGGCTTGGAGGGTCCTGAGCTTCTCCTCCTAAGGGCCAAATGCTTTACAGAACCCTGCAAAGACCTAGCAGGGGTGTGATGTGTCAGATTGAAATAGTTGATGCTAATGGTATATATGTGGCCCTTAGAGTCAACTAATTCCTTGAAAATTTCTCACTTATCCCTATGTGCCAAATGTCTGGCAGCTAAGCATTTACTTTCTCTTAAAAAATTGAAAAGTTGCTCTCTTAAAAAATTGAAGAAATTGTTTGGAGTGTACTAGTCCATCAACTGTGACATTTATGAACTCCC